TAATTCTTTGTAGTGTTAAATAATGTAATATGACATTTTTAGTGTTTTATTTAACCTAATATAAATGTGACACAATGAAGCAGTAGTCTTTTACTTTATTATAGAATTATATGGAATTTGGGCATGTTTATTTCCATCATTTATTAATAGCTGTACTTTAATTTTCAAAATATACTTAATTGGATTCATGAAATTGTACAGTGTATGAATATTCACAAACACTTTATACAATAAATCCCTTATTTTTCTATTTGTAAGCAAGACATGATTGAAAACAAACACTCATCCCAGCTGCCGTTAGAAAAGCCCAAAGTGTGTCTCCATTGTGGATTTCTATGGTTTATTAAATATTTAGTTTGAGTAGTAGTTTAAATATGGGCCCAAAGGAATATTGATCTTTTGTATTACTTCAGAACTTTAGAAAGTCACTGGTCATTTGTGGAAAGAGTGTGATTGTACTGTAGGTTTTAAACTGTTCAGCTAGTATTTGGCAAGTACCAATATAATTTCTGTAGATATAAAAAAAGTACTATAACAATACTGATGTGCCTACAGTTGAATTTGTGTTTATACACTGCTTAGGCAGAAGAAGATCTGGGAAAAGCCCAGAAAGTGTTTGAAGAGATCAACATGGACTTGCAGGAAGAGCTGCCTTCTCTGTGGAATAGGTGAGTCAGAAATGTTGGCAAGTGCTTTTACAGGGTCAGGATGAACACAAGGGGTGTTGCTCAAGTCAGGAATTTATTTAAGAAGTTAGTTACACAGCTGTGTCTAGTACCATGAATACCTCAGGCAGAACAGAGTGAATAGAATCTCCTGGTTTTTTTCCATACTCCCTAGGTCTCTCTAACAAGGCCGTGGAGAGATAATTCCTAGAAATATGCCGTATAGATACTCTAATCTCGCAGTAACATGACAGTAAAAGGGTGAGAAAAGATATATACAGTACAAACAGGAAGTGGCAAGAACTATCTACTGTGAAAAACAGTCGGCTAAGATGTTCAATATCGGAACATGTATTTCTGTATGGAATATTGAAAATCAATATTATGTGAGACCCCCCCCCCAAGAATCTATGAAAATACTGAACTGAATTCAGGCAGCATACATTTTCTGAACAGCATAACTGTTTTGGGTACTGCCTTTTGTATCTCCACAATACGATACTTGTGCTTCTGTCGAGTGCTGATCTACTGTTTGATTACCTAGCAGAAATATCCTGTTTCACTCCACATGACTTGGATTTGTCATTTGGCATTTACTGTATGGTGCTGTTTAGTCCACAGTGTAAATATCAGTGAAAAATAATAACTTTGTTTTTCCACTTACATGATTTTACATGATGCGTTTTGCTTTTTTTGTAACCCCTGCAAGTCCTAATAAAAGGCATCGACAAAATACAAATAGTAATACAGCAA